GGATGGAGATTGGTCGCTGCAGTCATGGCCTTCTAGCAAGGACAAAAGCAGCACTGAGGATAGTTTCCCGGGCTCGCCTGGATAGAATATAGAGCGGGCTTCTTTGACTCTCGCTCTTGTCTCGTGTCGTCTTATCGCGAGCAGGTTTTTCGTTCCCGTTCGCCGTCCAAGGGGCGACGTGACAGTACGGCGAAATATTACGGGGTTTCGGCTGTGGGGTAGGGCTGTATCGAACCATACATGCCAGCCCTCATACGCAGGTTTGTTGTGGCGGAAGGGAGGGCGGGGTCAGGCTTTTTGGGGCTCCAAAATCTGTAAGTTACAGTTGGCAATACAAGTATTGTCTGGTCACAGGTAATGAACTAGTTTAACTCTCACGATCAGATTAGATAATCACCAAAAATTGGTCGAAGTCAAGCCAAGTAAAACACAAACAAAAACAAAGATCGAGATCTAACTAAACCTCGATGTTACTAAATACTTGCAACACAGCCACTAACTCCATCAACAATTTTGTCTCAAACTAAGGGGAGAAAGAAAAAAGCGCTAGCTCCTTTGATTTATGTCCATGCAATTTCATTATCATAGAAAGGAGTTTGCAACCGGAAAAGTATATACGAATATACGAACTAAAAATAAATTAAAAGAAATAACAGTAAATGAAGAAGGCCGAAACAAGAAAGGGCCAGAAACGAAGGGACGAGCAACCTCAAAATAGGACACGCCATCAACCGACATGGCTGAACAAAACTTCCTTCAGTATAGGCGATCCGGAAAATTCAGGATTGAGAAGCACACAGCTGGTGGAGAATCCATTAGTTTAAAAAAAAAAAAAAAAAAAACTAGTTGAAGTAGGGAGCTTTAGATAGACGGATATAGATACTGGGGAGCTTCTTCAATACATATTTTTCAACTCACTTTAAAAAATATTCAAGTCCAACTCGTCTCCTTTCTAGAAACTTAGGACTGAATTTAACTGTGGTTGGAGATTTAAGGCACTTGTCAGCATGCACCAAAACTTTGCAAAACAATGGATTGAAAGCGGTATTTATATCGGAGTTCCGGGAAGGGGGAATGGGGTGGCATACATATGGCGCTCTTGGGCGGGAGTTGCGGGAGTGCCGATTTGGCATGGGGAAAAGCAGTGGCTAGTTTGGATCGCAGATCGTCAAATTGGGAGTATCTGTGGATTTTTAGTCTATCTTATAACAGTGGGCATATTTCATACGCAACGCATGTGCTGTACATGTATGTACATGGGAGTTGAGAAGGATTGTATTGTATGTACAGTACATACCTCATCCGAACCACCACGAGACCACCCTATGTGTCCCCATAGAAAGATTAGCTCATGAAAAGACACCCGAAAAAACATTGAAGAAGAAAACTAAATAGAGGACAGGAAGACACAAACCTCCAACGTCTGAATCTTACAAATCCACACAACATATGCCCCAATCCCAGACCTCCCCCCCTTCACAACAATATAATCCTCGATCAACACGCTGCGCGCCCAAAGGCCCTGGCTCGTCTCGCTGGCTGGGTCCTCCGTGTGGTCTTCCAGGCGTATAAGTGACCTGCGCTGTGCCGTGGCGGTTTCTAGTGACGTCTGCGATGCCAGGGATACGCTCCTATGGTGCCGCCAATAAGGGGGGGTTACGCCTGATATAGCCGTTGACATTGATGGAGCTATCCATGGCGGTGGTTCCTCATCCGAATGTGGTGATTGTTCCACTGCTGCTCCTGATGCCACGGCCGCTGAGGTGATGTTATAATCGTTGTTTTCAGAGATTGTGGTGGAGGCCGCCGTTGTGGGATTGGTAGAGAAATTACGCGGAGAAATCGTGGTGTGATTGAAAAGAGAGACGGGGACAGATTTTTGCCGCTCTTTTTGGTTATGTTGCGGTTGCTGCATGTGAGGTGGCTGTGCCTCCTCATTCGCCGGCTCCATCCATTTGACAGGTGGCGAGCAAGCAAGGACTACGGTAGAAGGAGCTTTTTGGCTTGTGTTTAGGATGTGGTGCAGACGAAAGATGCGACTTTTTGGAAGGAATAGCGGGTCCCGATGAGCTCAACTGAGCTACGCTTCCTCGGAAGTGGGTAGAAGGAGAGGGTTAGGTGCGTTGGTAAATCCGGTAAAGTAAAAGAAATATGTTCAAAAACTGTGTGCCTGCGAAATGATCATCAGCATAATCTAGCTCACTAGGCAGTGAAGCTTGTACGCCACGGGATGTAGTTGCACATACCAAAGCGGGATGAATTTATAGCTACTATTAAAAAGAAGTATGATAATAAGTCGCTGGCAGCAGCCATAATCACCCAGCCGGGGAGGATCAATACACAGTACAGTACGGAGGTCGGTTTCAAAAGTTTCGTTCAAGCACTAAAAACGCCACAACAGCCACTAGGAATTTATACTAGATTTTACATATAAATTCCCTCTCATTATTTCTTCTGCTTTCATCTATCAAGTCTGACTGAGTTCACCTGCTATATCAGCACAGAATTTCTCTCTTCCATATTGATCACAGTGTATCTTGATGAGGATATGTTCTTGAGCTGACTGCTGTTTTGTGAGTCATCCAGATTCAGAGTGAGAAGCATCTTTTATCACAGATATAAAGATAAGAAAGATCTGAATTAAAGTTATGATCTTGAGCAGTTTTATAAATACAATTGATGATTTGAATAGATAACTGAGGGAAATTGCTGATTTCTTTAGTAGTTTTACTGTGATAAGATAGCACTATGACCACTAGGTTATCCATAGCAAAAAGCCAACATAACCATTTGTTAAATGGTTGCGCTCATAGTGATATATATACCCGTGGGTGTGGTGGTGTGGCTCGGCCCACAGCAGGCGTGGCCATCCAATTCATCATCTATACACTGCAACTGCCAGCCGCAGCATAGTGGGGAACACATTATCATCAAAAGACTTCAGAGTCACTATCACAGCACAGATTGAGATATCTGTATTGAAAGCCATATTGAAATAAAAGAGAAGATAAATTTGATTCATCAATCTCTGAGGGATTATCTGCTATTTAAAATGAGGGGTAATTGCTTCTCATTAGCAGTATCTATGATATTTCAACTTGTAACTATATCAGTGGCGTAGATAGTAGCTTGGCTGAACGAAACTTTTGAAACCGACCTCCGTAGCAAGTTGAGGAATTCTCTTGATAGGAGCAGAGAATGGCTGAGGAAATCTGCCCATGAACGAACGGGTGACACAGACGTGTGATCTTGGATTCTCTACTGATATCATCTGGGATCGAATCTGATCAGACCTACTCCGTATACTATGAATCTGTCCTTTCAAACAATATCATTATCAACGGGAGACGTCTAAGTTTGACAATGGCCATTGAAAGGATATACGCAGCACATAACTCGTGGGTAGTCCCATAACAAACTCAATTGGGGGCTTGTTTGCCCATGGCAGCTGATCCCTGACAAAGGCTCCGCTAAGCTTCCAAGCTTGCTTCCCCTCCCCGCCGCCAGTTCCAGGGCGTCCATGGCTGAGACAGCGTTTCATCCACACACCCACAAACACACATGCGCAGGCAGAAATGCTCGGGCAGCCTGCCTCGACTGGCGGACCACCCACGCGTGTCTTGGATATTCCCCGCGGTGGTATTGCCGGTGCAACTCTGGGACCCGGAGCTCCTGCAAGAAGAAAGGAAATACATGCCGTGTCCTGCTTGCTAGATGATCACGCATCCAAAAATGATGCCATCATCACCATCTCCACCCATCCACCACCTCATTGGGCCGGAGAACGGCGTGCAGAACCAAAGTTAACTACGGAGTACCTGCCTTGGTAAAATGGCTGAGCTAAATCGGTCGGATCTGCTGCTGCTTCTCCAACAACGGGCCTAGCGCGTTTGGGACGCCTCCCCCGACTCTCTCTGTTGTGGTTGCTTGTCTCGCATCCTTCGATTTCCTGGTTCTTCTTCCTTTCTTTTCTTTCTCTTGCTGCCTCGCTTTACTTTTGCCTTCTTTGTTCCCCCGCTCTCCCGCCGTCGTTGATCTTTTCCCGCTTCAATTGTCCCTCGCTTGACTTCTCCTTCTCCTTCTCTCGTTCAGTCGTATATAGCTTTATTAATTTTTGCCCACGCTGATTTCAATTGGGCCTCCTTTTTTTTTTTTTTTTTTTTTTTTTTTTTTTTTCTCTGGCTGTCCAACATCTCGTCAGTTATTCCAGATATCACCCACGGCGAAATCCCCCCGAAGTCATGTTGCTCCCCACCATCCTCCTTGCCCTCTCATCCATTGCTGGGTTCGCTACCTCGCAATCCATCGATCCTTCAAACATTTCCGAAGCTATAAGACGTGAGTTCATAACTATTCGCCAATTTCGAAACCGAACCGAACATATCTAACATTCGTCTATAGAGACATGGTGCAATAATCAGATGAGCTCCTGTCCCTTGATCTGCTTGCAGCTCCCCGGAACAAGTGAAAACCCCGATTCAAATGAGTGTGACGCGGTAGGAGACCCCAAAACTCTACATCATCGTCATCGTCATCATCGCCATTCCCCTGGCTGGACTAACCAACCCACAATCAACCAACAGGACACCCTCCAATACTCCTGCGTTTGCAGCAACGGAATCACCCCCAACACGTCCGAATATACCCTCACAATGCCCTACTATCTCTGCACAGAATTCAATAACCAATGCGTAAGACATTGTGGCGACGACTCCTCCTGCGTAACGGCCTGTCGCGCGGACCACCCCTGTGGTGCCCAGAACCCCAAACGTGTCAACACCACTTCCACTGCCCCCACGGCCTCGCAGACAGGCACACCTTCCGGAACAAATACGGGTGGTGTCGTCTACACGGGCCTGGGTGAGGGCGCGACTTCGGCGCCCGGGAAAGGGACCGCGGGACACGCTGTGGCGTTGCATATCGGCCAGGTGTATGGGGCTGGTGTTCTGGTGGCTGCTTTCCTTCTAGGGTTTTCGATGCTGGTGTAGTTGAGAAAACAATTGACAAAATAATAAAATTGAAATTGAAAAAGAAAAGAAAAAAAAAAAAAAAACATGACAAGGGGGAGGGAGGAGGAAGATGCATTCGTTCCCCAACCCCTACCATTGGGGATATGTGATGTGTCTCACTAATAAATCGATAAGCTGGATAACATGACCGTTTATCTGCACGGCTGACCCTGTTTCTGGACGTGGATGAACTACTAACAACTGCCGCCCTTATCTCGATTTGTTTCTTGTTGGGTGAAAATTGCAAATTCTTTTGACCCCCCTTTTACTACGGGGATAAAAGCGAAAGGAAGAAAGAAGGAGAGAAGACGCTCATTAATACCATCCCACCCCCCTTCGTTTGTGTTTTTCCCCTTTGCTTCTTCTTTCCCCTTCTTTCCCCTTCTTCCCCTTCTTGTCTGTTTATGGATTTTATGTGCCGCGTCGGGAAGTTCAGTACATTAGTGG